AGATGCCTTGGTTGTTTAATTTCTCCGGCTAAAATGAATGGTCTTAGCCCTCGGAGCTGGCCGGTCGGGCTGTTCAGGTCTTAGCCTATCCGAGCTGGTTGTTTAGCATAGGTCTTAGCTCATTCCACTTGGCTGGCGTAATGCATAGGTCTTAAATTATCCGAGCTGAAAAAATACGGGCTGCATAGGTCTTAGCCTATCTAAAAAAAAAAATCTCTAATGACTTGTATGCCGTTTTTTCAAAGAACACATTTTTTTATTATTTCAACTTATTGCTGTCCATTTTAAATAATTTATTTCATACAGTATAAGATTTTTTAATAGAATGTATCAATTGAAAAAAAGGGAAATTAGATAATCAAAACTCTAGAGATTAATTTTTTTTTTCTTTCATTATTACCTTCAAACTTTCTTAACTTTGAAACAACAAGTGCAGATGAGGCTCTGCCTGTGAGATAAGGTTGGCTGATTGATTTTGTTTAGCAGCATATCAACCTCTCTGACTTTTTTAAGGCTGAAATCTAAATAGTTTGAACAATTTTTATGGCTTCAACTAAATATTTTGCAATGCCTTCAACTGAATATAATATTTTAAATGCAATTGTATGCAGTCATTTTGCTATAAAATGTATTGTTGGTAAGTTTTTATATAAAATTTTACAGTTGGCATAGTTTTTTTTATATAAAATGTATTTTTCTACTTTCACAGTGTTTCATCAAAAGTATTTTTCTAATTATTAAATATGGATTAAATAATAAAATAATTGTGTCCTAGAAAAAAAAGCCCAAACATTTGACAAATATTGCATAAATTGAAAAGGAAAAAAAAGAAAAGAAGGAGAGAGAAAAAAAAAATGGTAAGGTGCAGTAAAGATGTACATACCCAAAGAAACCGTGCGAAGATAGTCTTTAGGGAGAAACCAAAAGCAGGTGGGTGTCTGATGTGAATAAGATCAAGAACATACCAAAAATATGTCATGCATTTTGGTGAATGGTAGCAACAACAACAACAACACAAACTAGAGCTAAAGAGAAGAGAAAGACATGGAGGCCACACAGAATTTATCCCACAGTATTCCATAATGTACCTCAAAGGCATCACCAAGTACTGATAGCCATGGAGAGGCAAGTAATTTACGGTTGGTGTTATTTGTCATCTTCAAAAACACAAGCAGAACACAGCCTAAAATAGAAACAAAAACAAAACAATAGAAAAAGATTTTCACAGAGGGAATTATTCTGTGAGTTATAAAAAAAAAGAAAGAAAAAAAAAAAAAAAAAAAAAAAACAGGAAGTGTTACATGCAGTCACACCAAAAATACATGTTCTTAAATTTATAAAGTCAGATACTATAAAGGAAAGATTTTAACTGAGTCAAAATAAGTTCATAGATTTGGTAGCCTATCTTACTAATGTTTGGTATTTCCATCTTCAAAAGGGTGGTCCACATATGTATCACTGAGCCATAGGGTTTGGTTTCTGCTTAATGGCCAGTGAACCAGAAATATATTTTAATCATTTCCTCAAGCAAGACAATAAAGCCACTAAGGGTAGGGAATTTGACCATGTCAAAAAATCCTGTTGTAAATGGACTTTTTTGTTAGTTTGGAAAGCCACTACACCCTGCCAATGCCTCATAAATAATGGACGATTTCATTTTGATAATGCAGTAAGAGGAAAAAGACACAACTTGGTTTCAGTGAGAAAATGAAAGAAGATAAAAAGAAGAGAGAGAATCACATTAAGCTGATAAGAACAGATGCTACACTTTGATCTTAACCAAAAGACTAAGAAGCAATTGTATTTTTCACTACAAAAATAGTCATTTTGTTTCAACACTTCTAGGGTCTTCAAGTGATGGTATTCAACATATTTTATTTTATAATTTTGAATAAATGATATATATATATATATATATATATATATATATATATATATAAAAGTGAACATTGAAGTCAACACTCAGAGGCGACAAAAATCTGTCCACCCGCAAAATAACAGAATACACTATGGAAAGCAATCTAAACATTGGATGAATAAATAGCTTTTAAATATCTTCCCAGAACAAAACTATTAAATAAGCGACTTAAGCAAATCCCCCACTAAAAATTTTTTACTATGTTAATAAAACATCAAAAAACGAAAAGAATAAATAATACAAAATGAAAATAAAAAACAAGTAAAATAAATTAACCCAAATAAATAAATAAATAGGCCAGAATAGATTATCCACAATGCACCACTATATATATAGCCAAGGAAAAATCCAGTATTCGAGGCCTGACGATTGCGTCCAACATGAAACAGCCTGTTGCCTCTGAGTGTTGATTTCAATTTTCACTTTTATATTTACATGAGCTCTATCTCTGATATTGAGCACTTTATCCCATAAATATAGCATACCTTAAAACTGTATTTCTTTATATATATATATATATATATATAAAAAGAGAGAGAGAAAGAGAGTCACTGTGCAATAATTTTTTGAGGACAGGCAGAAGTAGAGGAATGTCAATTTCAAGGGCTGCCTCGGGCAGCACACACTCTAGCTACACCATTGATCAAAAGGACATAAACAAATTAAATATCTGCAAAAACACCACATGCAAAATAAGTAAAATCTCATCACATGATTGCTTCCCCTTAACACGGTCCTATAATCTAAGTGAAATATATTTTTAGGCAATGGATGAAGGAATTTTATACAAGAGAAGCAAAATGATGCAATACAAAAATAAATAAAATGAAAAATATAATTGAATGTCTCTTGAAATTAAGAAGGGAATATCGTATATATGGAGGGGGGCAGTGTGGTAGAGTAATAGCCCATTTCTCCCTGCCCCATGAATCTGGATAAGGCATACATTCAGGACGTTTATGAGCCGATAAGATTGACTCACTGGAGGGAGTTGTTTATTATGTAACTACTTGCATTATAATTTTTCTTTTCCCACACCTGCAATCCAAGTGCAGCTGGGAGGTAATCTCATCAACTCAGCATCTTGCTTTTCTGATTGAATGCAAAGGAAAATAATTCTGCATGATCTGGTGAGAGACAAGAAATATCTTTTGCTTTGTAAAGCTTATATATATTTATATATATATATATCTCAATGGCAACACTGGCAGTTGGGTTTGCCGGGATCAGCTTGAGTGAGTCAAAATTTCAAAGAAACAAAAACCTTTTTTAGTGAGTAATTTTCATTTTTGACCAAATGAAATACATTTTGTTGATATTGTTCATAATAAAGAAAAAAAAAACAAACAAACAAAGAACGCAAGTAAAAAAAAGAATGAAAGAAAATTAATTAGCCCTATCCGAGCTGGCCGGTCGGGCTGCATAGGTCTTAGCCCTATCCGAGCTGGCCGGTCGGGCTGCATAGGTCTTAGCCCTATCCGAGCTGGGCGGTGGCCGGTCAGGTCTTAGGTTCAGCCTGGCGGGTCAGGGGCGAGGCTGGCCGAGCTGGCGGTCGGGCTGCATAGGTTCAGCCCCATCCGAGCTGGCGGTCGGGCTGCATAGGTCTTAGCCCTATCCGAGCTGGCGGTCCGGGCTGCATAGGTCTTAGCCTCATCCGAGCTGGGCTGGTTGGCTGCATAGGTCTTAGCCCTATCCGAGCTGGCGGTCGGGCTGCATAGGTCTTAGCCCCTATCCGAGAGCTGGCGGTCGGGCTGCATGAGGTCTTAGCCCTATCCGAGCTGGCCGGGTCGGGCTGCATAGGTTTAGCCCCATCCGAGCTGGCGTCGGGTGGGTTGCAGGGTCTTAGCCCTATCCGAGCTGGCGGTCGGGCTGCATAGGTCTTAGCCCTATCCGAGCTGGCCGGTCGGGCTGCATAGGTCTTAGCCCTATCCGAGCTGGCCGGTCGGGCTGCATAGGTCTTAGCCCTATCCGAGCTGGCCGGTCGGGCTGCATAGGTCTTAGCCCTATCCGAAAAAAAAATCTCTAATGACTTGTATGCCGTTTTTTTCAAAGAACACATTTTTTTTATTATTTCAACTTATTGCTGTCCATTTTAAATAATTTATTTCATACAGTATAAGATTTTTAACAGAATGTATCAATTGAAAAAAAGGGAAATTAGATAATCAAAACTCTAGAGATTAATTTTTTTTTCTTTCATTGATTGCCCCCTTCCAAACTTTCTTAACTTTGAAACAACAAGTGCAGATGAGGCTCTGCCTGTGAGATAAGGTTGGCTGATTGATTTTGTTTAGCAGCATATCAACCTCTCTGACTTATTTAAGGCTGAAATCTAAATAGTTTGAACAATTTTATGGCTTCAACTAAATATTATGCAATGCCTTCAACTGAATATAATATTTTAAATGCAATTGTATGCAGTCATTTTGCTATAAAATGTATTGTTGGTAAGTTTTTATATAAAATTTTACAGTTGGTAAGTTTTTTTTATATAAAAATGTATTTTTCTACTTTCACAGTGTTTCATCAAAAAGTATTTTTCTAATTATTAAATATGGATTAAATAATAAAATAATTGTGTCTAGAAAAAAAGCCCAAACATTTGACAAATGTGCATAAATTGAAAAGGAACAAAAAGAGAAAGAAGGAGAGAAAAAAATGGTAAGGTGCAGTAAAGATGTACATACCCAAAGAAACAAATGCGAAGATAGTCTTTTGGGGAGAAACCAAAAGCAGGTGGGTGTCTGATGAATAAGATCAAGAACATACAAAAAAATATGTCATGCATTTTTGGTGAATGGTAGTAACAACAACAACAACACAAACTAGAGCTAAAAGAGAAGAGAAAGACATGGAGGCCACAGAATTTATCCCACAGTATTCCATAATGTACCTCCAAAGGCATCACCAGGTACTGATAGCCATGGAGGGCAAGTAATTTACGGTTGGTGTTGTTGTCATCTTCAAAACACCAGCGGAACACAGCCTAAAATAGAAACAAAAACAAAACAATAGAAAAAGATTTTCACAGAGGAATTATTCTGTGAGTTATAAAGAAAAGAAAAAAAAAAAAAAAAAAAAAAAAAACAGGAAGTGTTACATGCAGTCACACCAAAAATACATGTTCTTAAATTCATAAAGTCCAGATACTATAAAGGAAAGATTTTAACTGAGTCAAAATAAGTTCATAGATTTGGTAGCCTAACTTACTAATGTTTGGTATTTCCCATCTTCAAAGGGTGGTCCACATATGTATCACTGAGCCATAGGTTTGGTTTCTGCTTAATGGCCAGTGAACCAGAAATATGTTTTTAATCATTTCACCTCAAGCAAGGCAATAAAGCCACTAAGGGTAGGGAATTTGACCATGTCAAAAATCCTGTTGTAAATGGACTTTTGTTAGTTTGGAAAGCCACTACACCCTGCCAATGCCTCATAAATAATGGACGATTTCATTTTGATCACGTGGTAAGAGGGGAAAAGACACAACTTGGTTTCAGTGAGAAAATGAAAGAGAAGATAAAAGAGAAGAGAGAGAATCACATTAAGCTGATAAGAACAGATGCTACACTTTGATCTTAACCAAAAGACTAAGAAGCAATTGTATTTTTTTGACACCCATCTGTCCTGCTGGCAGGATGCAACACAAAGTCAGTTTATAATGTGGGAGGCTTGAGTGCATGCTCTTGAGTCAGGCGCCAAAATAGCCCAGTCACTGAAAACTGCTAGTTGCATTGGCATCAGTATTACTACCAATCCAATCCCACTTTAACGCAGGAGGGGGACACAGCTGCAGCCAGTCATTTCCCCAGACCACACACCTCTCAATAATATTTTCAGTTATGCTTTGTCCACAGACAGAGACACAACTGAGAGATGAAATGTAATTTATCTACCTGAGGGCAGATACTATACTTTGATCCCAACCAAAAAGTTGAGAAACAATGGCAACTGTGATAACAGCACTATTTTTCTGACACCCAGTATTGAATGACAGATACCGAGTAGGGTAAATCGGCAAAAATCCAGTTACCATAAATAACATTGTCTGTTGAATTATTTTAAAATTATGACCAAGAGAAATGTTTGTAAGACAGGGATTTGGCTAATAAAAAACAAGAAACTCAAACACCAAGTTTCTACAATCGATTTTGAAGTTGTCTCCCCCTGAATAATTTGCCCACTGGCTCACATATGAAAGTGAAAAAGAAAGAATGTTTGACTACATTTGGTTTTGTGAATGTGCTGTTCAAATTAACTCTTGTATATTTTCTCTTTTATTACGTATTGATTACATTTACAAAAGAAAAAAAAAAAAAAAAATATGATGGCAATACACAGTAGGGGGGGGGGAACAAATATTCGTACACATACAAATTTTTAATTTATTGTATTTCCAACTAATGAATAAACCTACTTTTATAATTAACTGTACAGATGCATGGTAACTAAATATGCATAGAAATAAATTTGATTTAATAGAAATAAATCCCATTTATCCATTTTAATGGGTGATAAAAATATTTGTACAACACAAAAAAGAATACATAATCTTCATTTAACAACTCCAAACAACTCAATTTTGGTTTCCTCTGTCTATAATACTTATTCCCAATAAGATTTTTCCTTATCCTTATGTTTGTGAAGAAAATTTCAAACTGGTATCTTTGTATCTTTTTAATAGCAGTGGAGTTTTCTGAGGGGAGTAGGATTTTAGATTGTTCCTATGAATAGATTTAGTATTCTTTTTTGTATTGTATGAATACTTTTTCACTCATTAAAATAGATAAGTGGGATTTATTTCTATTAAATCAAAATGTTTTGTTTTCTATGCATATTTAGTTATTATGCATCTGTATACAGTTAATTATATGAAAAGAATGTTTATTCATTAGTTGGAAAAACAATAAATTAAAAATGTGTACATGTGCAAATATTTGTTTTCCCTCCACTGTATGTTTGCAATTTCATTGGTTATATTATCCTCTTCATGTAGACCTGAAAACTCAAATAAACTATTGTAAAATGTAAGAAAGAAATTTGTTTTTCAAATAATTAAAAATTTTAAAAATATCCAATGAAAGCTAACATGATGCCTGCCAGCAAAAAAAAAATAATGGTCAAATTTAAGTAATTTTGCAATTGTATTTAGATTTTCTTCATTAGTAATCCAGGATTATTATCTATACAACAGACTCTAGAAATTATCATATGACAAGATGTATTGTAAGATGTAAGAAAGAATTCTGCTTTTTAAATAAAATTTAAAAAAAAAATCCAATGAAAGTCAACATTTACACTATTTACAATATTAGGACCGTTGTCCTCATCTTTATTGCCATGTTCACAACATTTTGGCTATTGTATGCCTCGGACTTCTTCAGATGATATTAAATAATATATAAGTTACTAAATAAAGAGTTTGGTTTAAAATTCCAATGTATATCACTTGAGGATTGCATCAGTTATATTTCATGCATAAATAAGTGTTTTATCTATAGAATTGGCTGTGTATTAATTTATAGAAACAAAAGAATTTTGCTTCATTAAAAGTAAAACTATCCAATCATCTTGTTTGAAATTATAGAAAAGAATTTGTGCATACTTATGCATATCTTGTGTGCATGTTTATACAGATGTACTTAATGTGACAGCTGCCATATTATGTTGTCCCAAGTTTCTAAAGATGAGTTGCTCATCTATCCACCTGCAAATAATCATATCTAAATGTTGGAGTGAATCAAAGAGCAAAAATTAGTGAAGATCAAAGTTTACAGCCATTCTATAATTCAATCAGGCTACTCTCCCCAGAAGGGGAGAGGGTATATAAATTCTCCTCCCACAGACACCTTTCCTTCAATTTACTCTTTTATTTATTTGGTTTCACTTTAATCTGCATAGTACATAAAATAAAACTTACATGATTATTACTAAGTCTGTAGCAATTTTGATGCTGTTATTTGCATGTAAAGAATGATATTGGTTTTTGATGGATTCATTTTCTATTGCAGGTTATTTAAAGCCAGAAAATATTTTTAGATGTAAGAATTTTTTTTTTTTTTTGTAGATAATGATTTAGTACTACAAGTTTTACTAATTAACTCCTAGCTGGGGAGGGGAAAAGAGGTGGATTAATACCTTTTCCCGAAGATGCTCATAATGAACCCAACTGGAATTGGAACTCAGCACTCTGATTAAAGATGTTGGGTCTGTGTACATAGTGTAACAATATCAGCATGGAAAGTGTAATCGGTGTGCGGCAGAGTGACTGCTGCACCAAAGGTTTTAGTAGTATATGAACTTGCGGCTAGAGTGAACAAAGTAGTAATATTAAATAAAATAAAAAAAAGAAACTAAATGAAATAGTTAATTAGAACATCTATGAAAATGCTTGATTAAGCCTTGAGAGTGGAAGTGGTGAGAATTGAAACTTGTATTCCTAATTTGAAAGGATGTATATGTAACAATATCTTCAAATGACTGGGCGACCAAAATTATTTGAATATTTTCCTATTCACCCAAAACGTATTTCTCATTGTTTGATCCTACTTTGGAAATTAAATATATTTATAGGTTTATATAGCAGTCCCAACTAGACAGGTTCTGGTTTTTGTCAAGAGAATTTCCCTTGTCCAAATAAATGGTCAAAATGAAAATTTCAGTGTCCAAAGACTTCATAAACAGAGGCGTCCACAGTCTTAAGGATTGGAAAAGAGTTGCCCCAGTCAGTCAGTAAGGGGTCAGTTTTGTCACCTGGTTGTTAGAGATATAGAGTTACTTTCTGCCAGAGTTAGAAAAATAAAGTTGAATTAAAAAGGAAGAGACTGACTTAAAAGAAGAATTGGAGACGGAAAAAATCTTTCTATTGTTAGACTGACTGTTCATAGTAAAAAGCTGAAAAGTAAAAGTATCCATGTGTGAGACTAGCATTTGACACAGCTACAAATAAAGACAGAATTGTTTTCAGCAAGAAGGTTTACCATGGGCCTGTCAGATATCCAGTTCAACAGGTAAACACGACACCAGTTCCAAGACGGCAAAGAACAGATTGCAGTGTGGCTAGTTGCAGCATAGTGGGAACAGATTGCAACTGGTGTGATAGTATTCCCAATTTGTCATTCACCAAACAGGCTTACAATATGTACAGTGCAGTCAGTGAAGAGTGCCTCAAGATCTTGAGGTCTGTGTCCTGTAACCAGTTTTAACAGGTAAGCTGTGTTCAAATTCTGGGCTAATCTGTTGTATTCACTTTCACACAAATACTCTTAGGAATAAATCTGTTTGTTTTACCCGCAGTTATAAGTTTCAGGGTAGACTGGATTCTCTTAGCAACCAATCTAGAAGTCAAAAATCAAAACTAGCCTGAAGAGAGATGGACTGTCTATCTTGCTATAGCACTTATGATCCTAAATGGTTTATAGGACTTGTGATTGAAAAAAAGTTGGCAATCAAGGCTTATGTTAATAAACCAGTAAAAAGGAAAAAAAAAAAAAAAAAAAAAAGAATGTTTTAAGTAATTCTCTGTGTAAGGAATAATCCTACTCACTTTGTCTATTTCTTCCACAACATAAGTGGCATCGCATTCAGCAGCATATTCTCGAGCGTTCAAGTTAAACTGCAGAAAAAAAAAAAAAAAAAAAAAAAAAAATGAAACAAATTTAAATAAGAAATCTTTATTTTAATTATGGAACAGATTTTATAGAATGTGTAAAGAAGGAACACATTAATTACATTGGTGTATTATTTATGTAATCTTAATGCATGGTGTGAACTGTTTTGGACATTTCAGAGTTGAAATACAGAAACAATAGCAAAATAGGAGGAAAAATTATTGATTTGTTTTTATAAAGCAAAATTTGTGTGTGTGTATATATATATATATATATATATATAATTATTGCGTTGAAAGCAAAATATTTTTAGTAGAACTTCTTAAATTAGGCTGGTTCTTTAATTTCACTGTTCAATAAAAAAAAAATAAAATAAAAAAATCAGGCATAAAAACTCAAACAGGTGTACCCACATAAAATAAAATAACATTTGTAATAATGTTTTTTTTAATATATTTTACATGTATTTTATATGTATATATTTATGTATTTTTTATATACGTGTATGCATATGGAAATATGTGGGTATATGTATGTATATACATATGGCTTACACATATGTATATACATATATATATGTGTCTCTGTGTGTGTGTGTGTGTTTACTTTGTTTGTAATATATTGGTTTGAAAGGTTGGGCTTGTCAGGTTCAGCCCAAGTGAATAAACATTCAATTATATCTATTTCAAAGCAACAAAAATCTTTTGTTGTGTTTTCAGCTGAATCCAAAATTAATTATTTTAACTCTGTGCCTCAAAATATTGACAGAAATCCATTTCATTGATATTATTTATAAGAAAGAAAGAAAAAAAAAAAAAACAAAGAAAGTAAGTAAATAAAAAAGAATGAAATAAAATTAAAATGGCTTGTGAGGCTGCATAGGCCTAAGCCTTTTCAAACTGCAAACAGACTTAACAGGCAATGTATTTCTTGTTTTAATTTGATAAATAATCTTTCAAAAATCTCTAATAACTTGTATGCCCTGTTTTTCAAAGAACACATTTTTATTTCAACTTATTGTTTTCAAATGACCATCTTAAATAATTTATTTCATACAGTATAAGGTTTTTAGTGGAATGTATCAATTGAAAAGTCAGCAAATTAAATTTAGCCTGACTTTAAAAGTTGGTGAAAAAATTATATTTTTATGCCCTCATATATCTCTTCAGCCCTTCTACCATTCTTGTGTACTGTGTGTGTTTGCTAGTATGTGTGTGTATATATATATATATATATATATATATTGTATAAAACCGAGTTGTGTTAGTGGTGTTGGATATTATGTATATTCACTAATACACATGCACACACATACACAGAGGACTGAAAAAATAGGTATACAATAAGTATCATGATATTGATTCTATGATTCATTAAAATCGTTTTCATAATTTCTATTCTTTAATAAATAATACTAAGAAGAAGAAATGTGATAATTTAACAAATGAGGAGCACAAATGGATTTTGAAACAAGACTAGAAGGCAGAATTGTGAATATAATCAATATATTTTGTGTGCACGTGTGTGTGTGTGTGTGTATGTATATGTATATATATATATATATATATATATATATATATATATATGAAAAATAGAATTCAAACAAGTTTTATTAAATTTAGCCAATAAAATTCATTCTTTGAAATAAAATATAAATAAACAAAAAAAATGGCATAAAATTTCCAATCATTTAAAAAATAAAGCAAAATTCATAGGATTTATTATTTCCCTTTTCCAATTGCAAAAGTCAAATAAATTTATTCAAAAAATTCAATTAAAATATTTGTTGATTACTAGATGCTTAACTGCAAAAGAAAAATGATTTTTTTTTGCAATACATAACAAAAGGTTTATGGAAGAACCCATAATCTGTGTCATGGGGGTAGAGATGACAAAATCAAACATGGATTTCAGTGGCCGGGTGTATTTGTTTAATTCAAGCATAAAATAAAGACAGAATTTCTTGTCTGACCACACACGTTTAAAACTTCCTCTTCACTGTCTTCCTTAGTATGTGGCTAGTTGGTCAATTTATAGACATGTAAATAGTCAAAGCCGCATAATCCACACAAGTAACGCGAATATGTGTTTAGCTTTCAATTTGAACATGTAATATTGGGGCAGCCTTTTGAACAAACCACTGTTACTGTAGTTACTGAATAAACAAAAGAATCCATGCAATGTTTTCATAAATTATTTTAAATGAATGAAAAAAGCTGAAAAATGGATTACCTTATTTTTAGCAGTCACTAAACTAGCACAACCTTTCTTCAGGATCACTTCAACAATATTCTTTGGCACCAAATAATCAATGCTGTGAAACAACACATTTTGTCCCTAAATTGACAAATCAAATAAAACAGATTCAGAATTATTCCTTATTACACATTTGTAGCGTAACATCAAGAAAAATAAGTAGTAGTAAAGGAGTAATAATAACAAAATGGAAAAAAGTTGGAATATTTTAAAGTTTTTAAATTCGATTGTAAACTTCAGATTTAACATTTTTATTGAACAGATATGAAATCCCAGCCCATAATAAATCATTTAATGTTGATATCACTTAACTCACTGCCACCTGTACAGTCGAATACACTGTGTTTTATATTCTAGTGTGATTGGAAAAAAAACAAGGCCACTCTTGATATCCGTCTTGTACATCACCTGGGTCAGAGAAAAACAAAGATCACCACTGGGCAGTGGGTCAGAGAAAAAGAACAAAGGGTCAGATGAATCACTTGGTCAGATGAATCATGATGCCAGTTCTTTTGATCAGGAGATAGTTTGTATGAGATGAAACTCCATAAGGTTATTATGGTAACTCTATAATGATGGGGGACAGCATTCTGTTGGTGTCTACAATGACCACCGGGGAGATGAGAATGCTATGCACCAATCATGTTGCAAACCATTTGCACCCCCCTTTTGGTGCTCATCATGTTACCAAGTGGTAAATTCATTTCAGCACAGTAACACAAATCTCCCAATATACATAAGTGGCATAAAAGTGGTTCAAAGAACACTTGGTTGACATTCAGGTATGTCATTGCTCCAGACTTCATACTCACTTGATTTAAACTCTACTGAACATATTTTGGACATGAAGCAGACATTATTAAATGACCTGAAGCTACACCCAACACGCAACTAAGTTATTAATAGACATAGACAGATATATGCACAAACATTTCACAAAGAACCTATCATGCCTTTACTAGGGTCAGTTGGGTGCCATCTGTGAAAAAAATAGCACCATGATGCAATTCACACCACCAGAAATTTGGAAACGGCATGCTATATTGATTGGCATTTGTACCAGAAGCTCCAATATGAACATTTCAGAGTGTTTGGGTGTCAATCTGAGGACAGTGCAGAGAATTCAGGAAGAGTTGGATGAATCTAATGGTGATTATGAAGTTATGGCAACTCGGAAAACTCACTATTCTGATAAGAACTCCCGAATCTGTTGGTGAGGGCCTCAGACTCCTTGAGAAGGTAGTGCTGCCCTGGGTCAAGAGGGTGGCTGCTGGAAGACCCTATGTCTGGCAACAGGACTCTGCACCATGCCACACAAGCAGAGAAACCGCAATTGTTTTTGGTTATAATGTGGATTTGTTTTTAGTGTATATAATATATTTTATTCTTCATATATTTTATTCTTCATATTTTTGCTAAACACATTTCCAGTCTCATGACTGTCTTCAGGCTAATTAAAGGAGTCAATTTTTAAAGGAATAAAATTTCCTCATGTTCTTTTAATATTTCATTGTTCATTTTCTGTATTTGCAGTGAACCTTGATCTTGTTTTTGGACTGTTGGCAAAAGTGAATTTTATAAGTGGTAATAAAATCATTAGGTTTGGTCTTAGTGGTGGCAATGACAAATGTGTTGATGATAGATGCCCCCCCCCTCTGTATATGCATATATATGATAAATATAGTTTTACGGTATGCTATATTTATGAGTTAAAGTGCTCAATATCAGGGATAGAGTCTATGTGTTCATGAATGCTTGTATTTCATGACTGGAGTTTGTGATTTGATCGATTAATTTTTTTTTTTTTACAGCTTATCAACCTTTTGCAGATTATCTGAAGTCAGAAAATATTTTTAAATTGTAAGAATGTTTTTGTAGATAATGATTTAATGATACAAGTCCTGCTAATTAACTCATAAGTGGGGGTGACAAGGTGGATTCACAACTTTCCTAACGGTATTTGCTCACAACTAGAATGGAACTCTACTCTCCGACATCCAATTCCGAGCCTTTATCCATTATACATACAACCTGCATATCCAAGGTTACGACACCTGGCATTTCGAAGCAGTCACTCAGCAAGGTACTGACCAGGCTAGATGTTTAACTTTGGCAATCATATGAGAACTGGCATTTCATCATGATATGGCTGTAAACCTGGAGTTTGTGAGGGTTTGCAAACACCTCTTGACATCTTGACCTTTCATAGCTAAGATGCAGGGTGATTGGGTAGGGGAATGGGCATTTTTCAGGAGAAAAAAATGTTTCTAAGCAAACAGGAAAAATATGGTAATTGCAAATCATCATTGGCTAAAATTAAGACAGTAATATTCTTTGCTAATGTGAGTAACTCACCTTGTAGAATAACTTGTTTAAATCTTCAGGTCGATCAGGTATAACCTTTTCTATCAAATCTGGTGACACAGGTGAAGTATTGCAATTTATCAATACAGCAAACAGCAGAGGAAAATCAAACTGAAAACAAAAAAAAAAAAAAGATCAATAGAAGAATCAAATATATAAAAGTGGACATTGAAGTCAACGGTCCGATTCATGCTAAATGCAATCATCAGGCCATGTATGTTGTGTTTTTGTTTGACTATTTATATATAAAGGTCATTGATGCATTGTGGGTAATCTATTGTATTATTCTAATGATTATTTTGGTGGGCAGTAATGGTTCCAAATTATTCGAGGAGCTATTGAGTGGGAATAATTGTGGATGTGAATGCAATTTTTTTTACTATAGTGTTGTTAGTTAACTTATATATTATTGATTATTTTATTGTTGGTTGTTATTAATAACTTTTCTTGTCTTTCTCTGTGTTTGTGGATTGTTAATTTCTTTATTATTTACTTAATTTACTTACTTATTTGGATTCATTTATTTTACTTGTTTTTGTTCATTTATTTTTGTTCGTTTTCAATTAACATAGTAAAAATTTCTTTTAATATCTGATTTTGAGATGAGTTCTGATCGTTTATTTAGTAGTTTGTTTTGGTCTGGGAATTTAATTATAGCTGTTTTTTCCTCCAGGCAGAGATTACAGTTTTTGGATTTATTTTGTAGGCTGATGTTTTCCTTATGCTCAGTAAAGACATTATTCAAAATGCATTTATATATTTTTTGTAAGTAGTGATCATGTTTTTGTTTGTATATGTACAGAAAGTACAAAACATAATTTTATGCAAAATCTTAATTTCCCCACTTAAAAATCTGTGAGCATTACATGACTAACATCATTAACTGTATCTTTATGTACATAAAATTTATTAAATTTTATATAAAACTACCTTCAGGCTATATGTATAAACTGTGTTATGAAATGTGAAGGGATATTATGTTCCATTCCCAAGCTGCCCCATTTCATAAATGCTATAGACAAATTAAATAGCCTCTATTCCAAAATCCAATAATAATCTGGAAACCAAAGCACTTTCAGTCCCTATAAGTTCCAATAAAGGATTCTCAACCTGTATATATTTATTACTTCAAACGTTATTATAGTGGATATTGTATTTGAAATAGACTTCCCATTTTTATTTTTGGTTTAAACAGGGTGCATCACATCTATCGCACTGCACATCTCAATAAAAGATGTACTCTTTCATAGTGAGAGAACTTACATCCCCCACTTATGGTGGGGGACGTAAGTTCTATCACTATGAAACATTATTGTAGTATCCACTACAATAATGTTTGATTTTGTTTGGTCATTTTTGTTTAGTGGCATATCAACCTCTATGGGTTATTTAATGCCAAAATTTAAATATTTAACAGCTTTAACAACAGATATTTTGTACATAATTTTATACTTTCAGTGCAGCCGTATGTTCCATAGGTATATAATTTGTAGATGCTCTTCAGTATTTTTAAATAGTTCTCTCATGTTTTCCTTGTAGCATTTATGTCTGATAGGAGCTAAGTGAGGACATTCAACATCTGTCTATATAGATGAGATGAGGTATTGTAAACTGTTTACACTATTTACATTGTTCGAACTGTTGTCCTCATCTTTATTGCCATATTCATGATGTTTCAGCTGTTATACGCTCTGGCCTTCTTCAGGTGATATACATTGGAATTTCGAATTGAACCCTTTATTTCGTCCACGGGCATAGATTGTTCTAGTTCCACATGCCATGTCTTTTCTGGACATCTCAGTTTCAGTTAATTTCCCAAGTACACCTCGATAAAAGAATTGGTAATCTAGTGACTTGACCCAAACAGTTATGAGCTCAAGACCTGGTCACGGCAGAAGTGAACAAAAATATAGGATTAAAAAGAAAATACATTAATTCTTTAGATTATATATATATATATATATATATATATATATAAAAAGCAGGTCTCAAGTTATTGTCACTCATCATCTTCACTCAATGGTTAAGTCCAGAAACATGGTGCATGGGTGCCACATGTAGTGATGTAGAGAAACAAACTCCAACACTCCTCCATTACCACCAGTTTATTCACTAGACCCCAGACTATTCATGGATACAAAGAAAGATTCTTTTACTGTATTATCACTGTGGATGAAAAAACAGTGTTTTTACATGAGAAAAGAATGGATGATTCCTGACAAGCAGGTAACACCACCAAACCAAGCCTACATCCAAGCAAGCAAATGATTTGTGTTCAGTGACATTAGCAAGAATAATTTACTATAAAATGCTTCAAAACAACCAAACAGTCAATGTAAAGCTGTATATTGAAGAAATGAACAGAGGCTGAAAGAGGCAATTCAGTTGAAAAGACCTGACTGACGATACAGTGTGATTATTTAACATGAGAATGCTTTTCCCCACGTTGCTAACATTACCAAACATGCAAATAAATAGCTCAGATGGGACACACTTTTTGATATCCACAACTTTGAGCACAATACCCAACACCTTATGTGAAAATTGGAAAAATATGATAAAATAATTTAAACTGACAAACCTTGTTGGTTCTTTTTAATCAAACTTGTTTGGATGGATGGATGAATATATATATCTTTAGAAATGTAAATAAATTTAACTTACGCCTTCTGCATCACTGAGGCTTGTATCCAACCTTGCTCCATTTGCCAAAAGAATTTCCGTTAAACTTTGTTGAATTTGGCCCCCGTTAAACTTTTGTTGAAAATGCTTCAATTAAAAAAAAAAATGAAAAAAAAGACAAAAAAGGTGCAAGAATGGAAGGGAATAAAAGATTAAATTTGGCCCTTCTGCAAAACATCACCCTATGAGCATTTAAGAAAGAAAAAAAAAAAAAGTTTACCATGATTAAGTTACTGTCCCAGAGCACACTAATGTGGAATTGGTAGCTTAAGTTGTGATAAATGTAAGCAAAAGAAAGAAAAGAAAGAAAAAAAAAAAAGAAAGAAAGAAAAAAGAAAAAAGAAAGAAAAAAAAAAGAAAGAAAAAAAAAAAAAAGAAAGAAAAAAAAAAAGAAAGAAAAAAAAGAAAGAAAAGAAAAAAGAAAGAAAGAAAAAAAAGAAAGAAAGAACAAAAAAGAAAGAATAGTTGAAAAAAGCTTCAAAAAAAAAAAAAAGAACAAAAAAGAAAAAAAAAACAAAAAAAAAGAAAGAACAAAAAAAGAAAGAAAAAAAAGAAAAAAAGAAAGAAAGAAAGAAAGAAAAAGAAAAAGAAAGAAAGAAAGAAAAAAAGAAAGAAAAAAAAAAGAAAAAAAAAAAAAGAAAGAAAAAAGAACAAAAAGAAAAAAAGAAAGAAAAAAAGAACAAAAAAAAAACAAAAAAAAGAACAAAAAAGAAAGAACAAAAAAAAGAACAAAAGAAAGAACAAAAAGAAAGAAAAAAAAAGAAAGAACAAAAAAAGAAAAAAAAAAAGAAAGAAACAAAAGAAAGAAAAAAAGAAAGAAACAAAAAAAGAAAGAAAAAAAAAGAAAGAAAAAAAAGAAAGAAACAAAAAGAAAGAAAAAAAAGAAAGAAAAAAAAAAGAAAGAAACAAAAAGAAAGAACAAAAAGAAAGAACAAAAAAAAAAGAAACAAAAAGAAAGAACAAAAAGAAAGAAAAAAAAAGAAAGAAACAAAAAAGAAAGAACAAAAAAAAAGAAAAAAAAAAGAAAACAAAAAAAAGAACAAAAAAAAAGAAAAAAAAAGAACAAAAAAAAAATAAAAAAAGAAAAAAACAAAAAGAACAAAAAGAAAAAAAAGAAAAAAAACAAAAAAAAAGAAAGAAAGAACAAAAAGAAAGAAAAAAAAGAAAAAAAAGAAAGAAAGAAAAAAAAAAGAAAAAAAAGAAAGAAGAAAAAAAGAAAGAAAAAAAAGAAAGAACAAAAAGAAAGAAACAAAAAGAAAGAAACAAAGAAAGAACAAAAAAGAACAAAGAAAAAAAAAAGAAAGAAAAAAGAAAGAAAGAAAGAACAAAAAGAAAGAAAAAAAAGAACAAAAAGAAAGAAAAAAAAAGAAAGAAAAAAAAAAGAACAAAAAAAGAAAGAAAGAAAGAAAAAAAGAACAAAAGAAAGAAAGAAAGAAAAAAAAAAAAGAACAAAGAAAGAAAAAAAGAAAGAACAAAAGAAAAAGAAAAGAAAAAAAAGAAAAGAACAAAAGAACAAAGAAAGAAAGAAAGAAAGAAAAAAAAGAACAAAGAAAAGAAAGAAAGAAAGAACAAAAAGAAAAAAAGAAAGAAAAGAAAGAAAAAAACAAAAGAACAAAGAAAAGAAAAGAAAAAAGAAAAAAAAAGAAAGAAAGAAAGAAAGAACAAAAAAAGAAAGAAAAGAAAGAAAGAAAAAGAAAAGAAAAAAAAAAGAAAGAAAGAAAGAAAGAAAAAAGAAAGAAAGAAAGAAAGAACAAAAAGAACAAAGAAAGAAAGAAAGAAAGAACAAAAAGAACAAAGAAAGAAAGAAAGAAAGAACAAAAAGAACAAAGAAAGAAAGAAAGAAAAAAAGAACAAAGAAAGAAAGAAAGAAAGAAAGAACAAAAAGAACAAAGAAAGAAAGAAAGAAAGAAAGAACAAAAAGAACAAAGAAAGAAAAAAAAGAAATGGAAAAAAGAACAAAGAAAGAAAGAAAAAGAAAGAACAAAAGAACAAAAGAAAAGAAAAGAAAGAAAAAAAGAAAGAAAAAAGAAAAAAACAAAACAAACAAAGAAAGAAAAAAGAACAAAAAAAGAACAAAGAAAGAAAGAAAAAAAAAAAGAACAAAGAAAGAAAAAGAAAGAAATAAAAAAGAACAAAAGAAAGAAAGAAAGAATAAAAAAAAAACAAAGAAAATAAAGAAAAACAAAAGAACAAAGAAAGAAAGAAAGAAACAAAAAGAACAAAGAAAGAAATAAAAGAACAAAAAGAAGAAAAAAGAAAGAAAAAAAAGAAACAAAAAGAACAAAGAAAGAAAGAAAGAAACAAAAAAGAACAAAAAAGAAAGAAAAGAAAGAACAAAAAGAACAAAGAAAGAAAGAAAAGAGTAAAAAAAGAACAAAGAAAGAAAAGAAAGAAAAAAAAAAGAACAAAGAAAGAAAAAGAAAAGAACAAAAAGAACAAAGAAAAGAAAAGAAAGAAAGAAAAAAGAACAAAGAAAGAAAGAAAGAACAAAAAAGAAAAGAAAGAAAAAAGAAAAAAGAACAAAGAAAAAAGAAAGAAAAAAAAGAACAAAAGAAAAAGAACAAAAGAAAAGAAAAAAAGAACAAAAGAAAGAAAGAAAGAAAAAAAAAGAACAAAAGAAAGAAAGAAAAAAAAGAAAAAGAAAGAAAGAAAGAACAAAAGAAAAAGAAAAGAAAGAAAGAAACAAAAGAACAAAGAAAGAAAGAACAAAAGAAAAAGAAAAAAGAAAAAAAAAAGAACAAAGAAAGAAAAAGAAAAAAGAAAAAGAAAAGAAAGAAAGAAAGAAAGAATAAAAAGAAAAAAAAGAAAAGAAAAGAAAAAAGAAAAAGAAAGAAAGAAAGAAAGAAAAGAAAAAAGAAAGAAAAAAAAAAGAACAAAAAGAAAGAAAGAAAGAAAAAAGAAAAAAGAAAAAAAGAAAGAAAAGAAAGAAAGAAAAAAAAGAAATAAAAAGAAAAGAAAGAAAGAACAAAAAGAACAAAGAAAAGAAAGAAAAGAAAAAAAAAAAGAAACAAAAGAAAAGAAAGAAAGAACAAAAAGAACAAAAGAAAGAAAGAAAGAAAAAAAGAAAAAGAAAGAAAGAAAAGAAAAGAAAAAAAGAAAAAGAAACAAAAAAAAACAAAAAGAATGAAAAAAGAAAAAAGAAAGAAAGAAAGAACAAAAAAGAAAAAAGAAAGAAACAAAAGAAAAAAGAACAAAAGAAAGAAAAGAAAGAATAAAAAAGAACAAAAAAAAGAAAGAAAAGAAACAAAAAGAACAAAGAAAGAAAGAAAAAGAACAAAAAGAACAAAAGAAAGAAAGAAAGAACAAAAAGAAGAAAGAAAAGAAAGAAAAGAACAAAAAAAAAAGAAAGAAAAAAAAAGAACAAAGAAAAAAGAACAAAAGAACAAAAAAAGAAAGAAAAAAGAAAAAAAGAACAAAGAAAGAAAGAAAGAACAAAAAGAACAAAAAGAAAGAAAGAAAGAACAAAAGAACAAAAAAGAAAGAAAGAAAGAACAAAAAGAACAAAAGAAAGAAAGAAAAAGAAACAAAAAAGAACAAAGAAAGAAAATAAAAGAACAAAAAGAACAAAGAAAGAAAGAAAGAAACAAAAAGAAAGAAAAGAAAAAAAGAAAGTAAAAAAAAGAACAAAAAGAAAAAGAAAGAAAGAACAAAAGAACAAAAGAAAGAAAAAAAAGAACAAAAAGAACAAAAAAAGAAAGAAAGAACAAAAAGAACAAAAGAAAAGAAAGAAAGAAAAAAAAAGAACAAAGAAAGAAAAGAAAGAACAAAAAGAACAAAAGAAAGAAAGAAAGAACAAAAAGAAAAAAAGAAAAAAAGAAAGAACAAAAAGAACAAAGAAAGAAAGAAAGAACAAAAAGAACAAAGAAAGAAAGAAAGAACAAAAAGAACAAAGAAAGAAAGAAAGAACAAAAAGAACAAAGAAAGAAAGAAAGAACAAAAAGAACAAAGAAAGAAAGAAAGAACAAAAAGAACAAAGAAAGAAAGAACAAAAAGAACAAAAGAAAAAAGAAAGAAAAAAAGAACAAAAAAAAAAAAGAAAGAAAAAAAAAGAAAAAAAAAAAAAGAAAAAAAAGAAAGAAAAAGAAAAAGAAAGAAAAAAGAACAAAAGAAAAAGAAAGAAAGAAAAAAAGAACAAAGAAAGAAAGAAAAAAAAGAACAAAGAAAGAAAGAAAAAAAAGAACAAAGAAAGAAAGAAAAAAAAGAACAAAGAAAGAAAGAAAAAAAAGAACAAAGAAAGAAAGAAAAAAAAAGAACAAAGAAAGAAAAGAAAATAAGAAAAAAAAAAGAAAAAAAAGAAAAAAAAGAAAAAAAAGAAAAGAAAGAAAGAAAAGAAAGAAAGAAAAAAAAAAAAAAAAAGAAAGAAAAAAAAAAAAAAGAACAAAGAAAGAAAAAAAAAAAAGAAAAAAAAAAAAAAAAAAAGAAAGAAAAAAAAAAAAAGAAAAAAAAAGAAAAAGAAAAAAGAAAAAAAGAAAAAAAGAAAAAAACAAAAAAAAAAGAACAAAGAAAAAAAAGAACAAAGAAAAAAGAAAAAAAAAAAAGAAACAAAGAAAAAAAAGAAAGAAAAAAAAAAGAAAAAAAAAAAAAAGAACAAAGAAAAAAAAACAAAAAGAAAAAAAGAACAAAGAAAAAAGAACAAAAAAAAAAGAAAAAGAAAAAAAGAACAAAAAAAAAGAAAGAAAAAAAAAAGAACAAAGAAAAAAAAGAACAAAGAAAAAAAAGAACAAAGAAAAAAAAGAACAAAGAAAAAAAAGAACAAAGAAAAAAAAGAACAAAGAAAAAAAAGAACAAAGAAAAAAAAGAACAAAGAAAAAAAAGAACAAAGAAAAAAAGAACAAAGAAAAAAAAGAACAAAGAAAGAAAAAAAGAACAAAGAAAGAAAAAAAGAACAAAGAAAGAAAAAAAGAACAAAGAAAGAAAAAAGAACAAAGAAAGAAAAAAAGAACAAAGAAAGAAAAAAGAAAAAGAAAAAAAAAAGAAAAAGAAAGAAAAAAAAACAAAGAAAGAAAAAAGAACAAAAGAAAGAAAAAAGAACAAAGAAAGAAAAAAAAGAAGAAAAAAAAGAAAAAAAAAGAAAAAGAAAAAAAAAGAAAGAAGAAAAGAAAAAAAAAAGAACAAAGAAAGAAAAAAAGAACAAAGAAAAAAAAAAAGAACAAAGAAAGAAAAAAAGAACAAAGAAAGAAAAAAAGAACAAAGAAAGAAAAAAAGAACAAAGAAAGAAAAAAAGAACAAAGAAAGAAAAAAAGAACAAAGAAAAAAAAAAAGAACAAAGAAAGAAAGAAAAAAAAGAACAAAGAAAGAAAGAAAAAAAAGAACAAAGAAAGAAAGAAAAAAAAGAACAAAGAAAGAAAGAAAAAAAAGAATAGGAAAAGAAGTAATATTTAATTTCAGAAATGCAATTCCTGATTTGATATTCTAAACCTGATATCTAAAGCATCCCCTCAGGAGGCTGTTTGAAACTTCCTTCTTCTTACCAACAATAAGGGAATGAGCAGGAGGTGTTCAACCCTGCGTATGTAGCACGGTGGGTCCTGGCCGTGAAGGAACTGGGAACTGGTGGCATTAAGGAATTACTGAAGAAAAACGGGAGAAAGAAATTATTAGGTTCCTACCCCATTTCTGAAGTTGATATTGATTGGTTTCTTGGAGTCAATGACTTCATTCACAAGTGTGATATCATCAGCCAGTACACCATGAGCCAAGTCCTGAAAATGGTGACATCAAGATTATAAAGAAAAATACAATTAAGATGGTATGTAATTGTTGCAAAAGTGGCTGTGAAACTTACTTGCATATATGTAAAGAGCACAAAATAACAATGGAAACAATTAAAACACACATTATCCACTCACCTCCTTTTAAAATTTGCTTAATTTAAAAATTTAATAATTCCCTTGCTCCCAACTAGAAACATACGTTTTGGAATAAAGTTGAAACTTTGTACACACAAAAAAGTGAATGTCAAAAGGGTGGTTTTTTCCATTAACACTGCTATTATTTTAACTATTTTCACTCCTCAGCAATGTTTATTATTTTAAAAAGCAATGATTAGAATTGGAATAAAATCTAAACATATGAAAGTGAAGTTATACATTTTTTAATTCTTGAGAATCACAAAAATATAAAACACTAGTTATTTATTAGATTTTGTTTATTTATAAGAATAATTTTATATTTACAACATTCTAAGAAGTAATAAAGAAATAAATATCAAAACAATTCTTTATTCATAAATTATTATTTTTGTTGCCAATTCTCAAGAACAAAGAAAATATATAAATTCACTTTCATCATGTTTGTTTACAGTTATAATCATTGCTTTTTAAAACAATAAATATTACTGCTTTTATTTTAACTACCTTCACCTTAGTTAAAATAAAAGCAGTGTTGATGGGAAAAAAAAATGTCCTTTTGACATTCCGATTTTTTTTTTGTGAGCGCAAAGGTCTATGTTTGCCGAATTTTTTATATTCCTACAGAAATAGAAGCAGGAATCTCTTATAGATACTTACCATCGATGAATTAATCTCTCCAACTAAACGGTCCATGTTTTCCACCCCACGTTCAATAGACAGTTGGACCAAGGTTTTCCCATTCTTAAAACAAAGAGAAAGAAGGAAATGGTTCTGTAAAAAAACTTTTAATTTCAGTTTCTTCAGACTGCATTTAAGATAAACAAAATAACTTATTGATTTTTGATTTACCTGGGTTACAAAATCAGGTACAAGGCCGCACTTGGAAGGCATAGAAGCATCAAACTTATTCTCAATGACTTGCAAGATAAGCATGACAAACACTGAACAAACAACAGTATTTGGCCTTAATTTTCTAGTAAGACAAACTAAATTAACTCCCTTGAAGCCAAGACAAGAATTTTTATGTTTTTTTTTTAATCAACATTCAAATTAATCTTTTTTTTGCTTTTTACTTATGTTTGACCACTCGAAGTAGAAGGTTACTGTGAGGTGTTGTATTAGTGTAAGAAAGTTGAGGTACCAAGGAAGAAAGCTCATCAGAACAATTGCCATGAAAACATTTGTAGAAAAGATAGAGGGAAGCCACAACACATTAATGAGAAAGTGACTGAAGTCGAGATGCCAGGTCAGGATAGATTATATTACAGACCCAACTTTGATTAAAAAAATTGTGTCTTTTCAGTAACATTGTTGTGAGGAATCACCACTTTTGTTGTGAGGTGTGGACTCCTTTCAGTAAATACTTTTGAGATCCTGGAACATTTGTCCCGCAAACAATATTTGGTGGACTCATGCCAGTCCAGGCAAATATTAAAAAAAAAAAAACAAAACGGATTTTTAAACAAACAATTAAAGCATGCATTAATAAAAAGAAATTACATTAAATGTGTACAAAGTTGAAAGGAAACACATTAAAAACTGAGCTATTAAGAATGTGCTTGTTTTTATGTGTATGTATAAGAGAGTTCAGTCAACTGGTGGAAACGAATATGCCCTGGGGATGTCTTCATCTATGTTATGTTACATCTTGGAGCAAGAGGAATAGGAAGACACGGTTTAACTTTTTATAGATTTAAACAGCACCACCTAAGGGATATCTGGCAAATCCAAGTTGGGTAACTCACAGTGTAAAGCAAAGAAAAAAAATAAAACTGAAAATAAGATGTGCATAGCAATCTTTGTAAGTTATTTAATTTTCAATAATAGATGCAGCTCAGCTTTTTACATAATGGTTAACATGGAGATGTTCTCAATTCCTTTGTTTGTTAAACAAATAATTTCAGAGGTTATCCCTAACAAGTAACAAAATCGAGAATATGCTCATATTAAAAATTATGGAACAGGCTGTTTCTCAAAATAGACAAACTTATTTTATAGGTTTATTTTAAATATTCATGATTATATTTTCCGTTTAGCTACCATTTTGTTCTTCTGGAAAGTAAAAGATCAGTCTCTTTCTATTAGTAATAAACCTGAAGAAAGACATTGAATAGATTGGTTGAAACATTGTAGGAACAACAAAAATCATACAGGGAAAAAAAAAAATCTCAACTGTCCCAAAATTTCTCTGAAGGAAAACACTGGGGAATAATTTTCAATTTATTTATTGAATTAGATTTGACATTTAGTTCTATGTAATTTGGGTGCACTGAGCACATTTTTTTTTTTTTTTTTTTTTTTTAAACTCAGTTTTGCTCTATCAGATCCTGATTTTGCTCAACACCCCTCCACTTTTGTATTCATGAAGAGGTTTTTTTCTCAATACTTGTTAAGTCTTTTTGCAGTTACAAATTATGCAACTAGATTTTAATCTAGGTATTTGTACCTATTGTTATGGTATTGTTGTATTATGTATACTTTTATATCTAACACCCTAAAAATATTTTTAATTTTGTCATTTTTAACCCATTTTAATTATGCTAAAACTATTATAGAATTCTAGAATTTTTGAGCATTCCTGTTTTATGTAAAATATTCTAGAGAGTCAAATAAAATATATAAAAGCCACTCGTTTTCAGAGTTAAACAGACAATTCAGTTAGTCAGTTAATTAAGTTTGAGCATTAACATAATTTTGAATTGGCATATGATTTACTGAGTAATTTTGTCATCACAATTTAACAGAGAATTTAATTAGACAATTTATATTGTACTTATTCATGTTTCTAGTTTAATTTCATAGACTGTAAGTACCTATTTCATAATAAGCTCCTATTTAAACCAAGGTGGGAATTTTCAACCGTCCACAAAGAACAACATTAATTAAAGACAGCAATTTTCCTAATGTCATGAATGAATGTAAAAAGCCTGGTTCTCATTTGTGGACTTGATCAAAAACATTTTAGGCAATTATAGAGCAGATAACTACAAAGAAATCATAAAAAATATGTGTAAGTAACTACAAAGAGTTAGGTTGCAATATGAACGTAAAAATGCATTTTTGAATAGCCATCTTGACCGATTTCTAAGTAATTTAGTCGATCTAAATGATGAACAAGGCGAGGGATTCCACCAAGACATCAAAATTATGCAGGGACAGTACCAAGGTTGCTGGAATTCCCACATGATGGCTGATTACTGCTGGTGCTTGAAAAGAGACTGGACATCAACATGTAAATACGCTAGAAAGTCTTGTAAAAGAATTTTTGCCACAGTGGAAGCTTCATGTTTTTTTACATTTTTTTTTTTTAAGTCATTTCTATAATTATAATGTAGTCTGAACTGCTTGTATTCATGAAACTTGAAAAGAATTTTAAAACATGACTTCATTTTTTGGTTTTAATTTGAAAAATCTAGAAAATGGCACATCGGCTGTTGACAAAAATTAAGACATGATAGTGCCAAACCAAGTTGAAATTCATATACAATGCACCCAAATTACCTAGGATCAAGTATCAGACATCATTCAATAAAATACGTGTTCCCCAATGTAATGATTCTTTTCAGAATTATAACATCTTTCATCTTCATATTTATTTAGAATTACTAACAAGCAGCCATATTTGAGTTCAGTTAGAAAGAAGCCAAATGCAATTGCTTTTTTGTTGATCCTTAATCATACAACATTAGCTGCATAATTGTCCCCAATTGACCCAATTTTCATGTGCAAATTTAGTAGAGAAAGTGCATATTATGGAATAGACAGTTTTAACAAGGGAAATTTGAGACAAGAGATGCTAAAGATATGTCTTGTACCTTTTCGATGTCAGTTCTACACCACTGATTCACCAAACGTCGAACACTCATCAGGTCATCATTCTCTACAGCATTCCACATTCCAGGCTAAAAAAGACAAAAATAAAAACATAAGTGTTAAGAGTAACCGCAGTGAACTGGTGAGACAGCAACTATCATTCTTTTCATTATCAGAATACGATGATTATATTAAATAATGTTAATATTTTAATTAATATTGAATAATTGTTAACTAGGCTGACTCTTGTGGTCATATCAAGGATTGAACTCACCATCCTTGGCTAACAAATTTCTGAACATATTAGACTCCCACTCCTGAGCATAACATTTAGTACTCTGCATCATTTATATATATTACTTTCCCTTTTACCATATATGGAATCCCCTCAAAATATAGTGTTTTATATATTTGAAATTGCAATAACTTGGCTCTCAATTTCAATCAAGATTCTTTTAGGTGTTGCCATAGAAGGATATGAATATACAACCAAGAAATTTAAATTCAACTTACATTGGCAGGACTAACATTTTGCTTGGCGGAAATAGTCACCTACAGAGGTTGGATATATTCTAAGCAGTGACAGTAGCAGGCTTGTCTCCCTTCCTGCCAAATTAGATTTAATCTTTAAGCATTATTTAAGTTTATTGAAATTTCTCTTTAGGGTGAATTTTTCTGTTGTTTGAAGAAGTGCTGTTTCTTGATCAAGATCCTGTTTTATCATAAATGATTCTTATCAATTTTATAGCAATTAAAATATTTCAATTCCTATTCAGTCATCATTGTTGTTGTTACAATACAATGATTCTATTAATGCTAATTCATATTCAGTCAGATCTTGGTTAACATTCATTTTTTTTATAATTTTACAAAGACATTTTCATGGAAAAGCCACCATAATAAACTTTAACACAGTAATAATTTACAAGCAGTATCCAAGAAAATTTCAGTTTTACTATTTGAATTTTTTGATGAATGATAATTTCTAATTGAATAAACTTGCATGTTCCATAACTATGAAATACCCATGGAATTTCCCCAATTACATTGTTAAATATTTAAGCTTAATTTTAAGAAAATATTGCAATAACAATGAAAGCAAGTCATTACTTAAAGTAAGAGAGTACAAATGAAAAGATACAAAACTGACAAGAGAAAGTACAAGAGAAAGAGAAAGTACAAGAGAAAGAGAAAGTACAAGAGAAAGAGAAAGTACAAGAGAAAGAGAAAGTACAAGAGAAAGAGAAAGTACAAGAGAAAGAGAAAGAGAAAAGAGAAACAAGAGAAAGAGAAAAGGCTGAGAAAGACAAGAGAAAGAGAAAGTACAAGAGAAAGAGAAAGTACAAGAGAAAGAGAAAGTACAAGAGAAAGAGAAAGTACAAGAGAAAGAGAAAGTACAAGAGAAAGAGAAAGTACAAGAGAAAGAGAAAGTACAAGAGAAAGAGAAAGTACAAGAGAAAGAGAAAGTAAAGAAAGAGAAAGTACAAGAGAAAGAGAAAGTACAAGAGAAAGAGAAAGAGAAAGAAAGTACAAGAGAAAGAGAAAGAGAAAGAAAACAAGAGAAAAGAAAGTACAAGAGAAAGAGAAAAAAAGAAAAAGAAAAAAAAAGAAAAAAAAAAAGTACAAGAGCAGAGAAAGAGAAAAAACATTTTATTGAAGAAAAAAAAATTAGAAAAAAAAAAAAAAAAAGAAGAAACAGAGCATTGCCAAAACATTTTATTGATTCTTTATTAAATTTCTGGCAGATGAAATTGTTGTAAGCTAGATTACCTCCCTTGAAATGACATGGCGACTTTGAATTCAGCAAATAATCATTCATTTTCTGTCCATCTGTCTGAACCCCTCTAACTCGAGACACATTTACTCCATATAGACATATTATACCTTTTTGGAATCAGGATGATCCCAGGATTGAAAATTTGCTTTTCTTCTTGTGCTTGAACATCTAGCATTAGGATATTTGTGTTCGAATGAGGACGGAACAGTTAAAAATTCAAATTTTAAAATAACTGAAAAAAAATTAGTAATTTTAAGTCTTTAATTTATATTTAGTTTAATGTAACATAAAAACTTTGTGAATTTAAAAAGTTTTGTTTTAAATTCAGTTTAAAATATCTCCAAAACTTTATGAACTGAGGAAATCAATTTTTTTATCTCCAAAATGCCACGGTATCAGAGTTAAAGTGAGAAGTTTCATGAGGTGAGGTTTTGAAGTTCTGTGGATTTTGTGATTTGAAGAATTCAATTTTCAGTCCGAATTGGAATTTCAGCCCAAATCAATCTTTTGGCCAAAATTGGACTTATAGCCCAAATCGGAATTAAAGTGAGGTTTTGAAGTTTCATGGAGTGAATTGAGGAATTCAAAATTATTTCTGCAAAATTATCATTGCTGTTTTCTAAGCTTAGGAAAGAGATGCCACAATACTTTCCACAGAGTGAGCAGTCTCCAAAGGGGTTGACAAATTCCATATTTGGAAGATGCTTTCATTTTCAAATTACAAACTCCTTTCATTAAATACTAAAATCACAAACCTTTTAACCATCACTCTGATGCTATAAGTAATTAAGTGTAGATAAACTGCCAAAATAAATATCTATAAAAAGAAAGAAAAAAGAAAAAGAAAAAAGGTTGTATATTTTAAAGTTAAACAAATATTCACTTGGTTATGGAATATGAAATCTTTGCCTGACGGTTAATTGTTCACCCATAATGAGAATAGGATGTAAAAGTTTTAGATAGATTTGATCTGTAAAGAGATAATATTAATAAAGAAAAAAAAAGGGAAACTTATCTTAGCCAACACATTTTATCCTCTGATGGACTTTGTCAAAGCAAATTTGCCTTGATAAAATCCCTCAGAGGATGAAATGCATCGGCTAAGATAAGTTTTCCTTTTGACTTCATTCAATAGGATGTAAGTAAAAATAAAACTAACCATATACTTCTCAAAAATCTCTTTCACATTGTTTTGCAAGGAAGACTTATTTCTGGCAAGTTCATCAAGTACATTGATGCCATTCTGAAAACAAATAAAAATACAAATACAAAAATATAAAGTCGTTATTTCAGAATAACTGAGAAAGAGAAACAATGCAAGTCAGTAGAGTGGAATCCCAGTTCATAAACTTAATTTACTCGAAGTTAATATTATATAATTATTAAGGTATGCTATATTTAGGGGTAAAAGTGCTCAATATCAGGGATAGAGCACATGCAAATGTAAAAGTGAACACCAAGTGTATAGGGTTAATACAAATATAAAATTTGTCACTTAACTAACTTCTCAATTCTAAAGTTCAGTAGACAGACCCTCCAACAATCACTGCATCCACTCATCAGGAGATATCAGCAATGAACTTTATTTTCTCTTTTTTTTATATATAGAGTTAAGAAAAAAATGTATGCACATTTCATTAGTGCAAGGTTGATTTTTCTTTCTTTTTTAATTGTGCACTCATGCATGTATTTGCATATTCTATAGAAGAGGGTATGTATTTGATTACAGATGGAGGGTGGTTAGAATTTGGGTGGATATGTATTGGATTGGCACTCACTTTCATGTAGGGTTGGAATACAATATTAACTAGCTCTAATGTAATATCAAGGAAATCTAAATTTTTTAAATTAGTGTTGAACTTAACTTTAAGGTGGAGACTTAAATTCTCTATGTATTAATTTCCTGATTTTGCCAACTTTTTGTGGAATTTTTCACCGTTATAAGGCCATCATCTCTATATAATCTTATACTATCAATGTTGATATCTTGGTGGGCACTAAGATTACATAAGATAAATAAACCAACAAGGTTTGGAGACTTAGCAGAGCCTAACGATCCCATGGAAATATCAATTTGGTCAGCAGAGTTGTTTTTAATCCATTGTTCTTTATTATGGATAAGAACAGATCTTCTAGAGTTCATAATAATATCAAGCTGCTCATTGGAAAGATCAGAGTAGTCCCCCAACAAATTCCAAAGCCAAAGTAAAAAGATTCCAGGAAAGAGATGGGTAATAATCCACAATATTAAACTGGATAAATGAACAATTCCTTTTATTGTTTAATTCCTTTTATTTTATATTTATTTTAAATTATTTTATTATTTTATAACAATTCCTTTTATTTTATTTATATGTGGTATTCATCCATTGTAAAAGTCCAAGGCACCTTCTAATCAGCTGGTTGACTATCAAGGATGATCTTGCTAATTCTACCAATTTCTGGCCTGGTTGGGTTGATCATTCTGGTGGGAAGATTAACATCAAAATCAGGTTTATGGTCCTTGATCGTGACATAGGATTCTTTAGTACAGAGCTTGCTAACTCTGTTGTTGATTTTTAGTTTCTCAGTTATATTTTTATTTGTTTCATTAATTTTGTCAACTAAATTAACAATATTATTTTCTACTTTTCTAGAATTTTTTAGTTTTTTCTAATTAAAATATTAGAATCTTTAGGAGTAAATTTGTAGAAGTTGGCTGTTTTGTTGATTTTGACAAAAACCTTGTCAGACAAAACGAATGTCCTTTACAACTAAATCCAAATGTCTCTGAAAATGATTTTTATATTTATGAAAAGAGATACTATTAATGATTTCTAATAAATCATTTTCAAAACCATTCAATGAATACTGCAGTTTTTAAGCTTTTGAAACTAGAAACATCCACTTCTTTTGAAAAATTATCATGAAGGAAGAAATAAGCCTTCCATCTTATCAGTCTTAGTAAAGCCTTAGTTTTCTGAACTAGTTTTACAAAATAATACCATTTGTTTGTGTTGGGAATATTCTTTAGAGAGATTTCAAAGTTGGTTTTTTCTATGTCAATGTAAAAATTAAATGTAGAAAGTGATCTACCATAAGGGGAACAAAATATCCAAATAAGAGAATTAACAGATGGAGTAAAAATCCACTGTTCATTGCATTTACTTTTAAAACAGTGCTCAGAGCATTATTATTATTATTATATCTTCATTACAAGAGATGTTGAAATCACCACATAACAGCTTTCATGTTTCAATACTATGATTGTAACTCTTCAGGCAATGTTAAGTAACTGGTGATTAAATGATGTTTTAAGGAAGTTTAAAAACAAAGTGTTACCTCTTTCCCTAAAGTTAAAGCGGGTGGAACATAAGGTCAGAATAAAAATAGACTTGTGGGCATGTCTTGATTAACCCACTAAATATCAGATCTACGCTAAATAGAAAAGTAACCTTAGAGGATGGAGGTGTAGGAGTTATTTTTTCATGTCATTGATAAACCGAAACATAGACAGGCCATCATTGACAATTGTGGAAAATATGTAAGCGACAAATGAATCATGATTGTAGACAAACAGGACATTCGATTTTTGGAAAGACGTTGAAAGAAGGAATAGGAGGATAATTAGACAAAGTTAATTTCAACAGAAAAAATATTTTTTAGATTTTAGATTCAGTAAGCTTAGCTTGATATTATTATTATGAACTGTAAAAAATTTGTTTGATAAGAACAAAGAATTGTAGATTAAGAACAACTCTGTTGACCAATTCAATATTTCCATATCATTAGACTCTGCTGAGTCTTCTGAACTTGGTTTATTTATCTTATGTAAATCTTAGTGCCCACCAAGATATCAACAGAGACCCAGTATTTTTAAGAAACAACAGTAATAAGCAGCCCATTTACCATATGTGCCCGACGTCTTGGGAAACCATGAAACTAAGTTGCAATACAAACATAGGTGTTTGTGTGTGATTATATATATATATATATATATATATATATATATATATATATACACACACACCTCCAAAAGTATTGGAATGGCAAGGCCAATTCCTTTGTTTTTAAGATGAATATGAGACAAGAGTTAAAAATTTCAGCTTTTATTTCCTGGTATTTACATTTAGGTGTATTAAGCAACTTAGGACATACCACCTTTTGTTTGAACTCACCCAATTTTCAAGTAAGTAAAACTATTAGATCATGTGACTGACAGATGTTTCTTGTTGCCCAGCTGTTGCCTTTTAGATCAATGATTTAAACATTAAGTAGCTGTGAATAACTATTTGTTTTTTTTTTTTAGTCTTGGTTTTTACCTGTAAATACTGCATTTCTTATTAAGAAGGATAAACCAACATGAAGACAACAAAGCTGTCAATGGGAGAAAAGGAAGCCATTTTGAAGCTGAGAAAAGAAGGAAAAATCAATGAGAGCCATTGGACAAAAATTGGGCATAGGTGACACAACAATTTGGAATGTCCTGAAAAAGAAACTGAGTGTACTGAGTAACAAGGTTAGCCAAGGAAAACAACAGCAGTTGCTAAAAGAAACATTGTAAGAGCTGTGAGGAAAACCCCCAAAACTGCAGTCAGTGACATTACCAACAACCCCCATAATGCTGGGGTGAAGGTTTTACAAGAAGACTTTGAGAGTAGAAATAGGGAGGACATACCACAAGATGCGAACCACTCATCAAATGGAAGGCCAGATTGGAATTTGCAAGAAAGTACGGAAATGAGCAACAAAAGTTCTAAAAGAAAGTTTTATGGATTGATGAGACCAAGATCAGTTTCTATCAAAGTGATGGAAAGGCCAAAGTGTGGAGAAAGAAAGGATCTACTTATGATCCAAAAGTATACAAGTTTATCCATGAAGCATGGTGGAGGCAGTATATTGTCTTGGGCATGCATGTCTGCTTCTGAAATAGACTCATTCATATTTATTAATGATATAACTCATGATGGTAACAGCAAGAATGAATTCAGAAGTCTACAGAAAGATTTTGTCTGCCAATTTACAAAGAAATGCATTCAAACTAATTGGGAGGAAGTTTATCATGTAGCAAGACAATGGCCTAAAACATACTGTCAACAAAGCAAAGGATTTCATTAAGGGGACAGTTTTTGACTGGCCAAGTCAATCATTGGACCATAACCCAATAGAGTGTGCATTTCATCTCCTGAAAAGGAAACTGAAGGAAGAAACTCTTCGAAACAAACAAGAACTGAAATAGGCTGTGTTAAAAGTTTGGAAAAGCATCACAAATGAAGAATCACAACAGTTTGGTGATGTCAATGGGTTGCAGGCTTGATGCAATTATTGCAAGCAAGGGTTATGCAACCAAAGATTAAATTTTATTTATTTTAAGACTATCTGTTCCCTTACTTTTGCTCACTTAAAAATGCTGTAATCCGATACAAAAGGTGGTATGTCTTAAGTTGTTTAAAACCTGTAAATAAATTAAAAGAAAATAAAAGATGAAATTCTGAACTCGTATCATATTCATCTTAAATCCAAATGACATCGGTGAATAACAAAAACAAAAGAATTGGCCTTGCCATTCCAATACTTTTGCAGGGGATTCGTGTGTGTGTGTATAAATATTGATATGTATTTGGGAAGGAACATTTCTTTGAAGCATTTTTCATTAAAAACGTCTGACAAAGAAGATTCAATTACAGTATTTACATTAGTCAGACTATTGTCCTCATCTTTGTCGCCATATTTGTCACAACGTTTCGGACACATGGCACAGTGAATAAAGGCGTTGGTTAGATCCAGTGACAGACCCAAAGAAGGTGAGTTCAATTCCTGGTTAAGGCAGTGGAGAACTTTCAGAGGGAAAATTTGCAGGAGATAACTGATAACTGACATCCATCAAACATGGCACGTGGAACTAGAACAGTCTACCCCAGCGATCGAAATAAAGGGTTCAGTTCGAAATTCCAACCACCTGAAGAAGGCCGGAGCGTACAACGGCTGAAACGTTGTGACAAATATGGCGACAAAGATGAGGACAATAGTCCGACTAATGTAAATACTGTACATAATACCTCATCTCAGAAATATAGACAGACTCTGAAGATTCAATTAATCTTTTATTGAGTTTTTCAGCATTCTAACATTTTTCCATTTTTCAGGGGTTAAAGAATATAGCAATTGTCTATACTTATAATTGTTCTGATTGCATTTTGCTAGTTCTATAGACATTATCAATTATGTTATTTCGATGCTGAATATTTATTACATAGAATAGAAATTTAAAATTATCCCATTTGAATAGCTACCTCAACTTACAAGAGCTTCCTTGGAGGATATGTCAACATTATGGGGTTAAAAAAATAAAAGTTTTTATTTTTTTTAACTGCTTGGTGTTAACAAATCCTGCAAGGAAGCTCTTGTAAGGTGAGGTAGCTATTCAAATGGAATAATTTTGAATTTCTATTCTTTGTAATTTATCTATCTATATATATATATATATATATATATATATATATATGCAAAAACACATATATACAAACACATTATACATACACACACATGTATTTACTTTAGTATTTCAAGATATTTTTGTATGATTTTGGTAAATATATCTGTTAGAATGAGATGTCAATGTTATTTTCATTTTGGTGCCATCTTGACAACAATTTATTCATCACACACTGTGATAAGAGAAATCCAAATATATATTGTCCCTATAATTTATTAAAATACCAAAATGTAAAATGCTTTGCTAAAAGTCATTAACATAATTGTTGTATAGTAGTATTTAATATGTTATTGCCAATCTATGCTCCAGCATCAGCTAATTTTTTTCTCATCATGAGAGAAATAGGTTTCCTATTCCCTTCATGCAATACACCTGATGATTGTGGGAGAATGGGTCAGCTTAAACAATGCATAATACAAAGAGGTTCAATGTTGTATATGTAAAACACTTTCATCCAAAGCTTCTAAAAACTGGTTGAAATATCACTGAAACAAATTAGGAATGAACAAATGGATATTTGTTCTAAGGTATGCCCACTCTGTCCCAAAATAGTTGGTACACTTGCAGACACATTTCCTACACTAAATGTAACAACTATTATTGGACAGAAATAGTAAATAAAAAGCCAATGTAAATCCAATTACAAGAAGTGGGTATGATGCAAGCTTACATGGTTAACTGCATAGACATCTGCATTGCAACGCAGAAGGGCCTCCACAAAGCCTGCATCTATTTTGACTGCATTTTGAAAATAAGTCAGCAATGCAATGGAACCATCCTGTAAAAACAAAAATAAAATTAATAGATATTGATGTCAAAAGGTCAGGAATTCTGAATGCCGATTTTCAAGGCAGGACGGATCTCCTCTACAGGAAGATTAGTGCAAAATGATTTTCCTATGTAACCAAGCCAGAAAATGCTTAGATTATAAACACACAGACAGACAGTATAGACAATCTAGGCTTTGAGCACTTTACTGAGTAAGTTTGCTGTTAGATCTTTTTTCTTTCTTTGTTGTTTTTATTCGAGATTGTATCTGGATAAGAGCTTTAGGTTTTGACAAGTTGCCTGTTGATTCCAATGTCTTTTTTCTTTCCTATCCATACATATGTGTGTGTGTCAATGATTTTATATATACTTTAATTTAGGATATTACATTGAAAACATATCAAAATCACTAAACAATTGCAGTCATGTTTTGATGTGCATACAACACATCTCATCAGGTGATTGTAAATTACTGGCAAGTGAACGATATAATTAGATTTAAAAGCAATAACAGTCTCTGTTTACGAAAAAAGAAAAAAGAGAAGAGGGTGGGATTATAAGTTTTGTGGGAATTGCTAAGAACAACCAATCAAATATGACCCACGTATAATTTAAACTAAGGGAAGAAGCAAAATTTAAGAAATTATTTTCCATAAATGGGTCATGACCCGGAGGTTTGAAATCAATGGCAGCCAGAGGTGTTTAACAAGAGCGGCTCTAAATGGATACATATTGTACATTTAGACGATGTCATTTCCTAAGAAAAAAATGAAGTGGTAATCTCACAAAATGCTAAACAAGTTATATGCTTTGTGAGTTTTCTACATAAACATTTTTATAGTTGATAAATAAATAGCTTCTTTAAGAAACCAGTAAATAATTTATATCTATAGATTTACTTGATAAATTAATATGCAACTGTTAGCTAAAGATTCTTTATATAAAATGTTAATAATAATAACCAAAGATTCATAGAAAGCTGCCATAAGTAAGAGTAATGTCCAATATGAACCAAGGTCATTTAATTTGAGCATGTAGATGATTTCAATCTTGCATAGAGGCAGTTATTGAAGCTGAAAGTGGCTTTATTGAATAAAATTAAAAAACAAAAAGGTAATGCATTTTTATGCTAATAACATTTTTGAATAATAAAGTTATGTTATTATATATCCGTTTTTTCTACATAGATATGCCCTCTAATACCTTACACACAATAATATATATATATATATATATATATATATATATATATATATATATATATATAAAACGTTAATATTCTATTATGATAAATTTTCATGTCACAAATCCTTGTCTCATTGTTGGTGTGAAGTTTTAAAGAAAGAGAATCAAATCTGAAACCCAAAATAGTCATCCAATATTGCTTTCAGAAAGCAAGTTTGTTTCAAGAAACAGAAATAACAGATATAACATCCAGCATTGAAAGAAAGAAAAGTACTTGCTCAGTAAATGTACAAAAAAAAAAACCCAAAAAAAGAAAAAAAAACAAGTCGTTAACCTTTACATCTGGTTGGTTGACATTCAATCCAGCATTCCTTAACAAATAGACGAGTTTGGTTGCTTCAGCCACGCGTGATGGATTCTCCAATAACCCAGCAATGAGAACATTAAAAAGATCATCCTGAAAGGGAAAAAAAAAAAAAAAAAAAAAATACAGAAAATAATCCAAGGATTTTCTTTAAACGCAAAGTAATACAAGATCTGTCTAGAATATATTAAGCCATTTTTAATTTCTCTCTTCCTAGATTTGGTTGTATGATTTTAATCTAACTTCATATTGGAAGGTGATAAATAGCTCAAATGTATATTTACTGCCCAGCACAAGTATTGAACTGATAGCCTTCAGCCAATGTAAACTTGTGCTTTAGTAAGTTTAAAGTGGTTCTGCCCATTGAGTTTGATAGAAACTTATGGTTTTTCCATCCACTGGGGGAAATAAAATCTATTTGCTTAGTGAAGTTATATCAGATAAGATCAACAGAAGGGACTTTACTCTGCATTTATAAACAGATGCTATCTTTTTTAATGGGTAAATTTTACAATTGATGGTGATGTTTTTGGAAGAGTTTTTTATCAAAATAATGTTATTTGCGTTATACAGGGGAATTGAGAAGTAACTCCCTATTTTGTGTATGAGTGGCCACCCAGGAGTCCTGACTTAACACCCTGTGACTTTTTTCTTTGGGGGTTGGTTAAAGGAGCAAGTCTACTACTATATCAAACCAAGACTTTGGAAGAACTTGAAGGGTAAATACAAAAAGTTATGTCTTTCATATTACAAGAGTTCATGGGGAAATCAGTTGACAAATCAGCTCAAGAAGATGGTAGCAAAATCTTATGCCCATATCAAATTTTAAATAAACGCTTTCCTCTCATATATAGTTCTTGTAAAAATTATAGTTAATAAATAAATAAGTATTTTAAAATGGAGAGTTACTTTTCAATCACCCTGTAGAATCATCAGTCAATGAGGTGAAGTACTTAAACTTCAAATATGTTTTAAGATCCACTTCATCTGGTCTCAAATTATCCCTGTAATTTCTCAAATTTGGAAATTTTCTTGTAGAACTCCCACCAAGTATTGGTGTGTTGAGCTTGCCAGAATGTCTTCATAGTCTGCATTTTGGTAATTGGTGCATGGCTTAATAGTTCCATAGCTCATCTCCTATTCTTGAGCCAAGTGGAATTATAAAAAAAAAAAAGACATTCAACTTCTCAATTCAGTCTGTACTCATCTCATATGTGCATTTTAACATCAAAAAAAGTTTTTGGATTTCTTTTTTCTATTGAGCCCCCTCTCTGATGATGTTCTCCCTCTTGTGGGGATTTGCCATAGAACAGTCTCATTGATGAACATAACAGTGGTTACTTGGATCTCATTGCTGGTGAGAAAGGTTTCACTGTATAGCCCACTTTCAAGGACTTCACCTTTCTACTCCACTCGGCCATTTGTCACTCAAGATCCTTGCAAGAGCAGTAAGGTTTTTTTGGACCTTGTTTGAGGTTGCCCTATATGATTATTAAAGGGTCCTTCAGGCTCCCAAAAATTTAGGTCAGCTATCAGTGAGGGATTTTGCAACAACAATGCTAATGCTGTGGAGGTATGGTAGAATAATGGATAGCAGCTCTGACTGAGGAAATGGAGAGCTGAGTTTGAATTCAAGTTGAGCTTGTTACATTCATTTATGTGTAATATGGATAAATAGCATAGATGGTAACCTGTCTAGGAGAAGGACAACTTTGAATTCAAAACCTCTAACTATGCCTCTCCAACCTGCACTGCACTTGGCCAAGCATGGTGAGTACAGCTCAACCCCTGAAGACATGGTCAATCAGGGAGGGGTTCCTCCAACAGGAGGAAGTCCTGTATTTGGATGTTAATATATTATTTATTAGTAACTATTAAAAGATGATTTTTGCTATTTGAACAATATTTTTTTTTTACAGCAAGGTTCACCCCCTTACAAGGCCCAGGGGCCACTTGAGGTAGAGGGTTATTTTTGGAGGCCATTTGTATGTATAGGGATGGAAGATAATGGTTAATCCTAGTCTTGAACAGGTTAAGATTGTAGTGATTGGGGGGAAATATGCTACTAGGAGTCAGGAAGAAGCTGCTTGTGTGAACTTACTTCTCATGGAATACAGGAGGAGTGTGGATGGTTTGCTACTATGTAAGTGGCATGGCATGTTCTTGCTGTGAATGTTTGCCTTGGTGACACCATGGAGTGTAGTTTGTCCAAGCACTTTCCGTAAAAGTAGCAGTAGAGCAGTGAGAGACTTGGAACATCCTGCCTGTGTGAGAGGGGCTGAAAGGTGGAGAATAATTCGTCACCCACAAGGGTGAGATGATTTTAACTCTATCAATTTTGAAGAGTGAGGTCTAGGCAGCCCCCATTAATATGACAAGAGTACTCCATTTTGAGCCTGATCTCGATCTTGTAAAGGTAGAGGATAACAGAAGGAGTCAGGTACTTACTGGAGTGGTACAGAGAGCCGACCATTTTCCTGCATGCTTAGCAATGGATTGTATGTGAGTTTGAGGTCCAACAGTCTTTCAAGGCATGGTGCTTCTCCAAGAGAACCTCTGTTCATCCTGATTGGTGGTAGTTGAAGAACAGATCAGCAATGATGGAATGTAACTAGCTTGGTCTTCAAGGCATTGAATGTAAGCAGCCAGTTTTTACCAGATTGGGTAGTTTTTTTCAACATTAAAAGTGAGATAAGTTGCCAAACTGACCATCAAGAGTTTCAGAGGTGCAGCCGTATATAGTTGTATTATTGGCATAGATGTTTACAAATGATCTGAGTATATTCAGAGGCAGCTCATTTATGTAGATCAAAAAGAGGGTTGGTCCAAGGAGTGACCCCTGGGTGATGCCTGGATTGACCTCTAGGGCTCTTGAGGATTGGCCATTAATAAATACCTTCAGGGACATACCTTTTAGGAAGGATTTTATGATTGAGAAGATCCTTCCAGTGATTCCATAACTGGAGAGCTTATGTAGTAAGCCCTTTTGCCACACCTTGTGGCCTTTGAGAATATCTAATGCTCTGGTCCTTGAGGTGTGTGTCATCAAGAGCCTCACTGATTCTGTGAGTGATGGTAGTTAGGATGTCGGCAGTGGATCGGACCAACAAACCCATACTGATTATTGCTGAAGAGATTGTTCTTTTCTAGGTGCTAAACAATCTTCTTATTGACTGTGGCCTCAAAAAGCTTACTGATGATACTGAGAAGACTGATGAGTCAGTACTGGGAGGGGGAAGATTGCATGCCCGCATTCTTGAAAACCAGGCATATGCGTGACGCTTTTCACAGGCTTAGGAAGGAGTTCTCTTTCAAACATCAGTTGAATAACTTTGCTAGGATTGGGCATAATTCCCAGTTGATGTTCTTAAGGATAACCACTGGAATTTTGTCTGGACCAGTGGCTTTCTTAGGGTCAAGGACTTTGATAAGTCTAGAGACTTCTAGCAATTTTCTGAAACAACTTGGTTTCTGGATTTTTCAATAAAAAAAAAAAAAAAAAAAAAAAAAAAAAATTTAAAAAATATACTCTAAAATTGTCAAACACAAGCATTTGACATTAAAGATATAAAAAAAATATTAATTTATCTCTGCACCACACAAAAGTTTTTACTACCTTCACTCCCAGCAATGTTTATTCTTTTAAAAACCAATGATTAGAATTGGAATAAAACTTAATCATATGAAAATGAATTTATATATTTTCTTTGTTCTACACTTTAATGTTTATACACTAATAAAAAAAAAATTCCAATTATTTTTTAAATATTGGTGTTTGATAATTTGTATTAAGCATGATTAGTAAACAGTTTTCACTTAATAATAATATCGTCAAAACCACTGAAATTAATACAGAATTTTAAAACTTAATAAATTTTTCAAATTAAAATTTTTAAAATATAAAAACAATTCTTTAACAATTCATTATTCATCAAAAAATTGTTTTTGTAAAACAATAGTATCCTTAGTATATCTTATTTAATAAAACAATTAAAAGGTTTTTTAATTAAATAATCTCATATGGTTTCATTGCATTTTTTATTTCACAATTCAGAGCAGATTTAAGGTAAATGGTGATTTTGTTTGACAAAAACAAATTGATGATTTAAATTCTCCAAGTAGCACCCTGCTTTTAACTAATATAAATACAAAGATCCTGGAAATTTAATTTCTTGAAATTTCATTAAGTAACAGATGCAAAAAAAAAAAAAAAAAAAATTCCCCCAAAAATATATTTTAAAAATAATTTAATTCATTTCCCATTCTAAGCTTTGCCCCTCCCTCTCCCCGCTAATGCAAGAAAAACAAGATTTTAAACCAAAATTTCAAACAAAGATTAAAAAATTTAATAAAATAATCAAAAACAATATTTTGTTATTTCCTCTTAACCTTTATCATGTTGAATGTGACTTCATTTGCTATACAATCCTGCCACTGACTGATCTCTGAACAATGTGTTTGAATTTCATAGTTGTGTTAGCATATCCTGCTATGGCAACAGAAAAACAACATTGTGTGAAATTAACAATAAGAATACTGCAATTGAGAGGCCTTTGAAAAAGAATGTAGTGGAAAGGGAAGTAATATTAATAATGCAGCATACATTATTATTGTTAATAATAAACATTTTGATGATAAAACTTTGTTTTTATCAAGTTTGGAGCCTTTTATCATCATGCTCTGCTCTTTTTTTAGATAAATAGAGGTACCTCCAAAAGTTGGGTCTTTAACATGCTACAATGGAAGACAGAGAAGAAACTATATAAGCATTTCATTCTCTCTATTGTTATTTTAATAGGTAATAATTGAATAGTATACATGGGTTGTCTGTCATTAGGTTAATTATTTTCTTAACAGATTAAAAGTAATCAGTTCCGGTAAAAAAATAAAATAAAAAAAAAAAAAAAAAAAAAAAAAAATAAAACAAAATCAAACAAATTTGGCTAGATTAAGATTTTTTTTTTCAAATCAAATATTGAAACAATCAAAATTAAATCTTCTGCAGTACAAGATCATTTCATTAAATTCTACAAAGTTCATGTTGGGATTTTCTTGGTGAACTTAAACAGGGATCTGATTCTATCAACAAAGAATAAGAATACCATAAAGCAGTGGTCCCTGGACTTATTTTTTCTCCGAGTAGCATTTTTGCAATTGAAATTTGATCACACCTCACCAAATTTTATGTGATAGAAAGTACATTTAAAAAAAAAAAAACAAAAAAAAACAGAGAGTAAGTTAAAGGGAGATAACCATAGATTCAAAGTTGGAACATTATCATTGAAAACTCTCTCCTTCAATTTGTGGACCCTAGTGACTATATTCTTAATATTTGATATAATGCAAAAATATCACAAGAATAAAATCAGTTAATAATTAGTTATACTTGGACTCATGCATGCAATTACAAGTAATCCACAATAATAATTTAAATTTTGAAATTATTTTTATTTTTGGTATATGAATTTTTTTAAACAATTTCTAAATCTTTGCTTGTCTTTCAATCATTCAGCCTCACCTGCTATCCTCTTTCACCTATGAGGTGCGTGCACTGTTTAGGAACAACTACCATAGAGAGATCATGTGAGTAAAAAGGAAATTTATACATATAACCAGAAAGTGAGAATTGAAAGAACTGATACTGAGAAAAGAGGGCTTGGAAAATTTAAGACTCACAGAGCAGATTGAAGGCAGGGAAAAGCAGTAAGTAATCTATGTAATGAGTTTGTGTGAATGGATTATAGAACAGACAATGAGGGGTCAAAAGTTAGGGCGACAAGGTAGGAAGTTGAGGAGAATCATGATCAGTCTGTGCTGATGGGACATAAAAGAACTTGCTTACCTGTTGTTCGGATATCAATGTTTCGCCATATAGAATTTCTTTTACTTTTTCTGTGTTTACCTGTCTTACAGATGCATAGAGTTCCTAGAAAGGAAAATAAAACATTTTTCAGTCAAAAAGGCAGCAGAAATTTGTAAAGTTGAAAAAAATGTAACACACTGACATTTGCATTTATTACATGATATATAATCATTTCACCCCATGCAAGGCAGTGAAGCCACTAAAACACAAGGGTGGGAAAGAATAAGAAAAAAAGAGAAACATTATTAAGGAGCAAGAACAATAGAAGAGTAATCAAGAAGTCAGTAGATAACAATTGACATTGCATTTAAATTTCTGAAGCTCAAAGTTGGCTGGAAAGCATGAAGAGAATTCCAAAAGCAAGAATTGTGAGAAAAGAAACTGTTAGTATAGAACTTACAGTTCCATCTAGTCAGCTCAACTGTAAATTGATGAGACCTAGCTGCCAATCTAGTACTGCACTTAAATTCATAGTCTAGATACCATAGCAAAGAGGGCATTTGAACAATTACCATGAAAGTATTTATAAGAAAAGTTTTTAGTCTTATTCTCTACTATCTTTGACAGCTCAACATAAAGTTATTTCCTATTTATAAAATTTATATTATAATTATTTGGAAATATTAATTATCACTAAACCTACTTATTATTAAAGTATCATTAATTTTATGTCACTATGGTTAATGGAGAAGATTGCAGATAAGCCAATGATTCTTCCTTATTCATTTTATTTTCTTAAGAAAATTCAGCAAAACAATGCTATCATTAGAAGTTAATATACTGATAGTTGTATCTTTGTATCCTCTTTTGTTAATTTATACTGAAAAATATAATCAGAAATTGTTAGCCAAATTGTACTGGAAATAGCTTTATTTCAAAGTTAGAGGAATTTAATGATGTTAAGAAAAATTGCACTATAATGTGCTGTTATGATTGCAAAAACAGAAACTGAATTAATATAACATAGAATCTTTAGTTAAGTGGATAACTAAATTACTGTATATTGTTATTTCTGAAATAAATACACACACCTTAATGAAACAATGAAGTCATATTATAAAACACCTAGAGCAAAAATCAAATTAAAATAGCATTTGTGTAACAATTACAAATTTGAATCTAATTTTACAATAACATTAAAAATTAATTTAAATTGTAATGCAAATATAAATTTCAGTTTCACAAATTTACCAAATTTAGTTGCAAAACTATTTGTAAATCATGCAAATAATTATACCTTCTTAAGCCTAAATGGATCATATTTATGATAGAAAATACAAATCAATCTTGAGGCAAAATTTAAAATTGCCTACAGCAATAAAATTAAACTTTTTTTCGTTTGGATGAAATTAACATAAGAAACAGTTTAAGAATTAATTATGACCGGAGAAGAGTAGAATTGTTAATTTTGAAAATACTTTTTTCTAATCATTGTAAGGCAATAAAGCCACTAAGACAAGAGGTTACTGAGTGTGAATAGGAATTACCATTGTAAAGTTGCCTCCCTGTACCTTTTCTATAAATACTTTTATGGTAATTGTGCAGACAAGCTCTTCACTATGGTACCTAGACTTTTTGAATTTAAGCGCAGTACTAGACTGGTGTCAAGATCTCATCAATTTACACTTGATCTGGCTAGATGGAGCCGTAAGTTTTATGATAACAGTTCCTTTTCTTGTACTTCTTGCTCATGGAACTCGCTTCTGATTCCATGCTTTCCAGTCAACTTTAATCTGCAAAAATTTAAATGCAATGTCAATCACTATCTATTGCCCTCCTGATTACTCACTTCTCTTCCTGCTCATTATTAATATTTCTGTCCTTAATTCTTCCACACCCTGTAACCGCTTGTGTCTTAGCTTTATATATATATATATATATATATATATATATATATATATATATATATATATATATATATATATATATATATATATATATATATTGGTAACATCAAGCTTTAGATTAAAAGAAATCACATTAAAGAGGGAAAAAAAAGGTAATTTTTTTAATCATTTCATTCCAAGCAAGGAAATAAAGCCACTAAGGTGCAAGGGGTGATTGAGTGTGAAAGAATATAAGAAAAAGAAAACAGTAGAACAATAAAATGGGAATTAACGAGATAGAAGATAAGAATTGACATTGCATTTAAATTTTTGAAAATCAAAGTTGACTAGAAGGCAAGAAGCCAGAAGAGAATTCCAGAAGCAAGTAAAAGAAACTGTTAGTATAGAACTTATGGTTAAATCTAGCAATTTCAAGTGTAAAATGATGAGATCTAACAGCTAATCTAGTACTATGTTTAAATTTCAGAAAGTTGAGGTACCATAGAGGAAAGTTCAGAACAATTATGATTTATACAAATTGTTTATATTTTGTGTAGATCAATCCTCATTTTAACCATTAAAAAAAAGTCAATGGTTGAATTAAGAATAAGAATTTATGAATATAAAATATGATATAGTGTAGCAATATCCTTTCTCATATATCCTTCCTTGATAGATACTTTTTCCTTTTAATGACCAGGGTTTCTCAGGAATCTTGTCTCCAGCCCACCTTTGAATTGACAAATATAAAATTTTGTTAGTGTTTTTTAGATAGCTGTAAAAGTAGAGTCTTTTGAAAAAAAACTGACCACCCAAAAACTGTCTGGATGGTCCCCATTTCTGGTTGGTAGATGGGTGGTGGGTTACCTAGCGAGTATCCATATAATGAGTAGTCAGTGAAAGGATTGCAGCCAGTGAAATGGCCAGCAGTCAGTGAGATAAGCAGTGAGTGTGCCAGAGTCCTTTTTCCATGGCTGATAGTGAGATACCAGAAGTTCGGTTTCTTGAAGCAGAAGGAAGACATTGCTGATTAGGTAAGAAATCCCAGTTTTTTTTGCTACTTTCCAGCTAAACAAGTGTTTTGAAAAGTATTTGTCATTATTCATTGGTAACGTCAATCACGGCCATGTATAACATAGCTAGAGCCTGGTGTATTTGCATATGGCTAACCTTGGATGTCATCACAGTTGACGTGTGAATTGCATCATCACAATAGTGCATAGTAAGTGTCAGGAGTAAAAAAAAAAATGAACAGAACTAATATATATCTATTGTTATTCCTTACTGCACAATGCAACTCAAAGTTTTTATGGGTGAGGCAATCGTCAGACAAAGAATCGATATAGATTTTTCAACAATTTTACAAGTAAAACATTTGTGGCTTTTTTTTTTATAATGGTCCTGTAAAAAAAAAAAAAAAAAAAAAAAAAAAAAATTCAGGCAGTGTTAGTGTAAGAAAATGTTTTCAGCAGATTTAATGGCCACTGTGATAATAAATACTGGTTCTATAAATTCTAATTCTCATGATTTTATCATTACAACCTACCATACAATTGAAAAAGAAATTTTTCTGTTGGAATGATTATCTAGATATTTTTTTCTAAAAACATTTCACTCCCAATCAAGGCAATTAACCCACTAAGACACAAGGAGTTACCGAGTGTGCGAAAACAGTAAAAGAACAAGAATTATGACCTTTAACTTAAAATATTGCACAAAATATGCACATTTTTATTTCATTTAGCCCCAAAAGGTCTATTTTGATCACCTTAATTATTCACAAGTGGACTATTGCCCTCAATGTTTCAGCTGTTGGGTCCTCTAGTGTTCAATTCAGGCAAAATGTAAGAAAAATACATTTTCTTCCAAAATTCCATAAATTTCTGTATGAAGGATTAGCAGTTGAATGAATGAAAAAATTTTAGATTGTTTTTTTTTTTTTGGAACAAAACCACATAGAAATACAACCTACTTTAAATGGAGATTATAGAAAGTAATATTTTAACACTCATAAAAATGTTTTTTTTTTATCTTTAAACTACCACTGGTAAAAAAAAAAAAAAAACCTAATTGCAGTGATTCTAATGTTTCATACTCCATGTTTCAAGGAAAATAAATGGAGGCATTACTTTCAGAGCCCCCTCCAGACATTCCCCTTGAGGCTTCCTTATATACAGTGTAACCCGGATATAAGAGAAACCCGGATATAAGAGAGATTTTCTCTGGTCCCAAATTAGAGCCTGTGTTAATGTATATAAAATAGACCAAACCTGGAATAAGAGAAACCAGGATATAAGAGAGATTTTATCTGGTCCCAAATTAGAGCCTGTGTTAATGTATATAAAATAGACCAAACCTGGATATAAGAGAAACCAGGATATAAGAGAGATTTTATCTGGTCCCAAATTAGAGCCTGTGTTAATGTATATAAAATAGACCAAACCTGGATATAAGAGAAACCAGGATATAAGAGAGATTTTCTCTGGTCCCAAATTAGAGCCTGTGTTAATGTATATAAAATAGACCAAACCTGGATATAAGAGAAACCAGGATATAAGAGAGATTTTCTCTGGTCCCAAATTAGAGCCTGTGTTAATGTATATAAAATAGACCAAACCTGGATATAAGAGAAACCAGGATATAAGAGAGATTTTATCTGGTCCCAAATTAGAGCCTGTGTTAATGTATATAAAATAGACCAAACCTGGATATAAGAGAAACCAGGATATAAGAGAGATTTTCTCTGGTCCCAAATTAGAGCCTGTGTTAATGTATATAAAATAGACCAAACCTGGATATAAGAGAAACCAGGATAAAGAATTTTCTCTGGTCCCAAATTAGAGCCTGTGTTAATGTATATAAAATAGACCAAACCTGGATATAAGAGAAACCAGGATATAAGAGAGATTTTATCTGGTCCCAAATTAGAGCCTGTGTTAATGTATATAAAATAGACCAAACCTGGATATAAGAGAAACCAGGATATAAGAGATTTTATCTGGTCCCAAATTAAAGCCTGTGTTAATGTATATATAAAGGATAGAAACCAGGATATAAGAGAGATTTTCTCTGGTCCCAAATTAGAGCCTGTGTTAATGTATATAAAATAGACCAAACCTGGATATAAGAGAAACCAGGATATAAGAGAGATTTTCTCTGGTCCCAAATTAGAGCCTGTGTTAATGTATATAAAATAGACCAAACCTGGATATAAGAGAAACCAGGATATAAGAGATT